CCGTAGAGTACTGACTACTGAGTATACATAGAACTATCAATAGTTGTCAAAGAAAGAGTGCATCGATATTTTCCGCCACTAGATAGGAACTGATACCGAATGAGTGTGCAGTATTCGCAGTTTTTTGAGCTCGCTACTCTATGGCATTGGATAAGGTCGATTTGTGTTAACCACTTACCCTAAAACATGACATCGGGTATTATGAAACTGTAAGGTTGTGTAAATGGCTTATGCTCCCTCTGTGAAATAGACTAATTTTCCACGATGATGTCTCGATTGGATTTAGTCATAACTTCAAGGCATTATCGGAGTGGATCCGTCTCAACTCTGAACCACGACTTCAGCAAGAAGGAAAAACTGAACCATAACAGATATGCTACAGTCATGGCAGAAGAGAGGTTACAGCAACAATCAGAAAGGAAAGAAACCTCCAGAGTAATGTATAGAGTGATGTGTGAGATCAGGTCAAAGGAAGAAGAAGAGGCTTCAGCTTTCTCAACACACTATATTATCATAATCACTCAAAGGCCGATTCCATTAGCAAAAGCAAATTGCATAGGGAGTAAATCTAACGCTCAGTCCAATGCAGTGGACTAAATGGAAAGGCTCCACTATATTATCATAATCACTCAAAGGCCAATTCTGTTAACTAAAGCAAATTGCACAGGGAGTAAATCTAACACAGTCAAATGCTCTGGATTAAATGGAAAGGTTCCACTATATTATCATAATCACTCAAAGGCCAATTCCATTAACTAAAGCATATTGCACAGGGAGTAAATCTAACGCCCAGTCCAATGCTATGGACTAAATGGAAAAACTCCAGCAAACAACTCCAGCAGATCACTACAGAATTGGCTTCTAAGACGATCCAGCAAAGCAAGAAAAGGTCATTAGGACCACTAGGATTTTTGTTATTTGGCTATGATAGCATGTACAACTAACAGTCAGAACTATTTCATTACAAAAATATCAGGTACGTTTTGAGCTATGATGGATTTAGACCGTAATTAGTTTGTGATTCCTGAAAGCAGCAAAACAGATAATGATACTGCATGTTAAATTCCATCTTTTAGTTCAAGTATTGGCAGTATGGATAGCCTAAGGTCAATGAAAACTATACAGAAGAGAACACCAAGTTGGAAAACAGCACAATCCTGTGTGGGTCATTCCAAACGATTTTTTTTTATTCAAACATGTAGACCATAATTTATTATCCATATTACATGATACAGATAAAGTACAAGGAATAGCTCTATCCACTTCAACCTACACTCAAAAGAGCCTCCAGACCTAGTACTACAAGGTATTAGGTATAGATCTTTGCGCCATATCAGTTCACCAACCATAGATGAAAAAGACCAGGAATAGAATTCCAAAACAAAAGAGCAGTTTGGAGGGTTAATTGAACATAAAACTTTATATCTTACCATTGAGATTTTTCTGGAGTACATCCATCACAGAACCAAAGTCAGCCTTCACACTGATTGGTGGATTAGCATACTGGCAAACCATGTCCTTGATGTTTTTGTCATGGTAGTCGATCTTTGACTGAGTGAACTTCAGCCCATGAGCCGTGCTAACAACCACAGTGCAGTCATTAGGCCCAATTATACGCTGATCCCGGAGCTTAAACAAAGCAGCAAGTGCAACCCCAGTATGTGGGCAAGCAAACATCCCAGTGCGGTCAGCAAGAGCCGTCGCATCCATTAGCTCCTCCTCTGTAGCCTCCTCCACAATACCATTAGTAGCCTTCAGTGCGACCACCGCACGGTCAACAGATACAGGATCACCAATCTGTATCGCAGATGCATATGTAGTTTCAGCAACCTGTGGCTGAAACTCAGTCCAGCCTGATTTGTAGTACCGGTACAATGGATTTGCATTTGCAGCCTGTGCACAGACAAGCCGTGGGACACGGTCAACAAGGCCAAGAACGCGGCACATCTCAAACCCCTTGTAGAATGCATAGATATTCCCAAGATTGCCTCCTGGAACAATGACCCAATCCGGCACCTGCCAATTGAACTGCTGCAATATCTCGATGGCCGCTGTCTTCTGCCCCTCAAGGCGAAGTGAGTTGAGCGAATTGGCAAGGTAGATTGGCAGCTCTGCAGTGACCTCGCGAATGAGTCGCATGCAGCCATCAAAATCAGTGTCCAGAGAGAGCACGGTGGCGCCGTTGGCGATTGGCTGGATGAGCTGCTGCAGCGAGATGCGGTCCGCTGGCAGGAACACGATGGCGGGGATCCCCGCGGCCGCGCAGTAGGCCGAGAGCGCCGCGGAGGTGTCTCCCGTGGACGCACAGCCAACACCGTTGATGGGGCGCGAGAGCGGTGCGCGGCGGAGGCGGTTCACCTGACTGACGAGCACGGTCATGCCGAGGTCCTTGAAGGAGCCGGTGTGGGAGATGCCACAGTGCTTGACCCAGAGGTCGTTCATCCCGCCGAGGTGCTCGCGGCCGAGGCGCTCCGCCCAGAAGAGGTTCGAGTTGCCCTCGAAGAGGGAGACGATGTGGTCGGAGTCGATCTCGGGGAGCACGAACTCCTTCTTGGACCAGACGCCCGAGCCGTAGGGCCACGCGGTGCGGCCGACGCGGGAGTCGAAGAGGTCGCGCCAGTAGGAGCCCGGGTAGCGCGCCAGCGCCTCCATGTCGTGGCGCACGTCGAGGAGGCCCCCCGAGCTGGAGCGGTAGACGACCTCGTCCAGCGAGTAGCGCTCGTCGGGGTCGCCGCCGGGCGCCGGCGGGAAGGGCTCGTACCACGCCGAGAAGCCCTGCGCCGGGCCGCGGAGCCGCGCCGCCTCCTCGCGGATGTTCTCCTCCGCTGGGCGGCGGTGCTTCGTGGCCGTCGTGTCGGAGGAGGCGCAGCGCGCGCGGCTCGGGCTGGCGCGGGGAGGCAGGCGGAGGTGCGAGCCGGCGGCGGGCGCCCGGACGGATGGTTGGCGGGAGTGGGAGAAGAGGAGGGAGAGGGAGGAGGCCGCGGTGGAGGTCGCCATGGTGCGGTGAGGCTTTGGCGGCGAGATTGCAGAGGGTGGGGAAGGGGGGCGAGATTAGTGGGGAGCGGACGCTGGTGACGTGGACGAGGGTTTAGGCTTTTTGGAGAGGGGAAGACGGAAGTCGTGTCGGTCGGCGAGGGCCGATGCGTTCGGCCCGGTTCCCGTTTATGTTCCGCTGGTGGTTCGCCGAGCTGCTATGATACGCTCTCCGTCACGAGAATCACACGCTGAGCTGAACGCACGTCGTGTCACGCTGGCTGGAGGTTGAACCTCTAGGCCCAGTGCTCCACGCTTCAAATGCTCAAGGGGCGAACCATCCTAACCACACAGATGAGCAAGCAACACGATACCTATTTTAGCGAGTAATTACCTTATTTTTCACGTGCTTTTCAAGGAGTAAGTATAGCCTATCCTTTATGGAAAGCATCATCTATCGCATGTTGAGAACGTGGAGAATCGCTGCCCATGGATTTTGGATGCGGATTTTGCATGGGCCCGCTGAACCATCGATACCACCACAAAGGTTCACATCAGAGGATGTGATAAAAGCATCGGCGGCTCCCTTCATATGGATGCAGGATGCAAGTATCACGTGCTCTAAAGGGAAGGAGGCTGCCACCAACTGTTGCGAACCCAGCACGAGCAAAAATGCAATACTGCTGAAAGAGAGTAGACAATATACAAGCAACATTGATGGATCAAAGAGAGTACGTAGAAGCTGAAACTAAGGCGCTAAACTGAGTGTCGATTTTTCGAAATTTCGAAGTTGCACGCAACATATGAAATCAAGAAGGTAGTATATAATACAGAAGAATGTTATGGGATCATGGATTCGCAGTTACTTAGATTGTTCATATCACAGTATGCTCCAATTAAACACTTCAGCTGTCAGAATTTTCTTGCAGGGTGCAGATGATGAATCAGGTGAAGCTGACTGCTGTGTGACTTGCTGCAGTTCCAATCTCGACTCTCTTTGGCATGGGAATTAAGGACATGTTTGGATCCCCTCTTCTAAACTTTAGAGCTCTAAAAACTTTAGAGCACTTTAGCTCACCTTTTAGGTTTAAAGCTTTAACGTGAGGTGGGCTAAAGTTTAGAGCTCACTTTAGAGCATATGGAGCTTTAGAAGCTCTAAAGTTTAGATGAGCGAATCCAAACAGGCCCTAAGTCGAACACTGCAGTTTATGGGGCCCATCATCTATTTAGCATTTCGGATGACTGTGCAGTGTTCACGTAAGTTGCGCCCTTGTTGAATCCTTCGAGCACCATTATTCGCACTGCCTCCAAGCCCCTATGCAACGCAAAATCAAGCTGCACAAAGAGATCGCTTCCGTTACTTTTCCTTGTCTCCCCATGGCCCATGGATAAAATAGAAACACCCAATTATGTGTTTTGCTAAATTGGCTGAACCAAAATATCTTAGGTACAGATAATAGTGAAAACCTCTTCTTGCTCTTTCTTGTTAAAAGGCCGGAGAACAAAATTTGCAGGATCCATCTTCCCGGGTGGTCGTCCAATGCCTGCAGCGGGAATATTCATTCTGGGCAACTGAAGAGAAAAGGAGTGAGAAAGGGCATACCAATTCTTAGGCGTGGAAAATCACGGCTTTGTTTCAAATGGTTGACGATGCTTCTCATCCTGCAAATAGTGGCCAAATGGTAAGTACAGAAACAAGCTCTTCTCCAAACAATAACAGTGATGGGAAGGTCACAAAGTCAGTGCAACCACTATGTCCAAATTTACACATTGATATAGAACCTACACGAAATTATGAATAAAAAGAGCATGGACTATTTCCTTATAGGAATTTAAAAGAGGGAGTAATAAAACTACAAATGAAGTTGTTACCAAAGTTTTAATGCTGGCCTGCTGCATTTTGTAACAGGTAGGCACTTTATAATCAAGTTTCTAAACATCAATGTACAGTTGCTACTGTGTGTTGACAGACAACACAAATCAATGAATCATATGATCAAATATCCTTCTCTTGGATGAACTTGAGACTATGGAACAATTATCTGTCTCCAAAAGTATGTGGTCTTCATCAGAATTTGTATTAGAAAGAACACTGAAATAACGACTAATAAGCTATACATGGAACAGATATCAGAAAGTAGACGAGAAATGGAGTACCCATTATGTCCGCCATGCCCACCCTTTGGCAGCAGGCGCAGTTTTGCAAAGGGTAAATCCAGATCATCATACATCTGCAGAGAAGAAAAGAATGTGGACTAGTTAATAGTGATTTTGCAAGGTGACAATGACATTTATAGTGATATGAAATGCAGCTAGTGAAGAGTAAATATTTACCACAACGACTTGATTAAGTGGTATTTTGAAATATGAAACCATCTGCCCAACCTATACATAACTCAATGTGTGTAAAAAAAAGATACAAAAAAGGAATAATACTACAATAGCATTCAATGTTTCATTGGAATCATTGTACTTACAGACTCACCGCTTGCATTCATAAAGGTTTGTGGCTTGGCAAGCATAATAGGTGCATCACCGATGCGACCTGGATAATAATGAATTAGTTTTAGTGAAGAATGCTTTCAAGCATGCATGGAATTACAAAGAAGTAATAATGCATCTACTTTATGTTCAATATTCAGTTATAGACATGGCCATCCCTGCAGGAGTGCGACCTGTGCGACGGCACAGGGCCTCTGTTTTCCAGGGCCCCGAACTCCAAAGTTGCAGCCCATCAAACCTATTAATCTTATCAAAATTTCTAGCAAGTAGCCAAGTAAGCCAAATCCCCAAGAGGAAGCATCGTTTCCAACCCCGCAGCACTAGTTCGACTTTCATCTTTGACTTTTATTCTCCCAATCTTGATCAGCGTCTAGCGTCTCAGTGTGGGTGATTCGGCTATACGTGTCAGCGTGAAGCTATGTTGCCGTCTGTTGTGAGGCCATGGGCGGTGGATATCAGGAGTAGGACATGCTGCTCATGGCCTGGTGCTGGTCCACTTTACTTGACCTGCTGAGCAAAGGGCAGCAAGTGCTGCGCTGGACTGCTGGTTGCATCTTCCTTCGGCAAGCTAACAACATAATTTTCTTTTCTTTTCTTCAATTGTACTCAATCTTTTGTATGAACTAGTGAACTAGTACTGGCTTGTTTGTTGTCTGATGTATATATAACACATATCCCTTAATTTTGTTTTTTCTATCTTACATATTCATGTGTAAGAACTTGTCAAGACGTCGAGTGTTTTAAGATCGAAACCCTTTCTTCTGAAAATCAGTCTAGAAAAATATGAATCGAATTACTAAAAACATAAAAAAACAGAAAACTTAATATTAGAAGGGAGCTATGGATAGGTCATGCAACCAAGAGTTAATTCTGTATAATTCTTGATCGTTGCAATGTAATACAGTATTTTATTATTCTACTTTGCTAAGTTGCTAGGGCCTATTTTAGAATTTAGCATGCCAGGACATCCCTGGTTATAAGAGTATCCGAAGGCCACATGTAGATTGCTGTAAAAACTCTCAGGTTGCAACAGATTTAATTGCGAAAGGAAGTGAGAAAAGAATTGGAACACAGTTTAGCTCTTGAAAGCATTCTATCAAGATTAACATTACAAACTTCAACACATATAATAATACTTCATGTAAAGAAAAATACTTTGGTGTGATTGTTACCTTTTCCAACCATTGCCTTGAACTGCATACTGCTCAGAGATATACCCTCAGCTTCTGCTATAACATCGATCATCTCGAATCCAACCTGAGAATAATTAGACATGATCTCAAATTCTCAACTCCGTACAAAGATTATCCACTGGAGTTTCTATTTTCTAATTATACCAGTACACAATAAAGTCCTCTGCGCACAAGAGAAAATCTGCTCTCTGACTACGAATCATACATTTCAGTGTTTCTTTTTTAGCGTTTCTATCTCATTCTGTAACAAGAAACCAAGTCGACGAAACAAGTTTCAAATTTGCATATACCCTTTGTTTACATCCTTAATACCTATTCAACATTTGTATTCAAAAGTTTAAGACTCCAAAATTTTGGAGTTCCCACCGTGGAAAACGGCAGCTTTCACGACAAACAGGGTAGGTAAGGCGCTTACGTTGTGGCGAGTTCCCTGGTACACCTTTCCGGGGTTACCCAGACCGACGAAGAGCCACGGCTTCCGCGCGCCGCCGTCGCCTGTACCTGCGGCTGATGAAGGAGCTGCTCGACAGGCGAAGGAGGACGCTGGGACGCATCTTGTCCTTGCGCGGGGGTGTGAGAAAAGAGGAGATGGAAGGCGGGACGCCGAGGCGCCAGAGAGCAGCCGCATCGCCGTCGCTGCCGCCGCCGCCGCCGTAGCGCCGCTGGTAGGAGATGAACCTTTGGGAGGCTTGGGATGGGCTGGGATTGTCACACTGGGCTTCATAGCTTAGGGCTTTAGGCCAGGTTGGGCCGACAGCCCAGCTATCAATTTTTTGTTATTAATTAATTTTGAATTTAGCAAAAATATATGTATAGGTTTTGAAAACTTTGCAAACAAGGCTGTATATATAAACATTATAAAATATCCAAATAGTTTTTAATAAAATCATAATAAATTATGAATTTTTACTATTAAATTTTATCTTCATACGGATCTACTATCTACTATACCTCCTGAATAGGAGAACCTCACTGTCATATTTTCCTTCAATCTCATAGAGCCACGTCACCAGGTCCTCTCTCTCCTCTACTGCTCTACGGTCGCACTCAGAAAGGAGACCGAGAGATTCCCACTCTCAATTAACACATCAGGCAACCACTTACCACTCCCACTACCTGCAATTGAATTGATGCAATCAGAAACTGCCAGGCAACCAAGAGGCCGATAGATTGAATTGATGCAATCAGAAACTACCAGGCAACCAAGAGGCCGATAGATGGTATTATTTATATTCTTTCCCTCATGTATCTGATGGCCGCAAACTTGCATTGCATCTCGCATGGCCTGAGCGCGGCCCGACATTCATCTTCCCTTCCCAAGCTTTCTCCAGTGGTGGGTGCATCCAGGCTATGGCGTACTCGAAGTAGCTGGGCCGGTGGATTCCTGGCTTCCTGCAGCAACGGATGGCAATGGATGCCGACGGATGCGGCAATGGAAGGCTGTGGCGGTGGTGAGGACGAGATGAGCGATTTATTGTTGTTTTCTTCTTTTCTTTTCCTGTGCCGAAGCCGAACTATTTGTTGCTGGTCTGCGGTAGAAGATGGGGATGAAGAAGGTCACGGGCTTGCTCCGCGCGCAGTTCCTGGGATAAGGCCTGTGACGGTGGCGCACCGACGGAGCTGACGCAACCATACGGCAAGATGAACACATGTGTATCTCTGCGTTTCCTAATAATCTTATTTCTCTTTTCAATTCAGAGCGTTGTCGTGGCTGAAAAATGAGCTTTGTTTAACACCAGTAGTTATGAGGCATAAGCGCAACACTGATTTATGCATGGATAATAATTTTCCAGTTAACTTAACATCCTTTAAACCATCAAACCTTACGTTATCTTAGCTTAGCATTACTGCACAACAATATTGTAACATCATTTTCCAACACAAAGCTATATATTTCTAGCTCCATAAAATTTCATCACAAAAGTACTGTAGATCAAGTTCCCGCAACGGCGATCTGTGGACCACTTTTTTGTTCATTTATTACCTATATAGTGTGCCACTTGCTTCTGTATATCCCAGTCACTTTCATCGTCAACTAATCAAAGTTTCAATTCCCTGGAACCGATTCAGTCGATCTACGTTAACTGTACTATACGGCATAGGCTACACGATGGAAGACCAAAGTAAACTTCTCGAAATCGACCGGTACCTCGCCCGGACGCATGCGTTCATACTGGTGGAGCCAGAGAGCTATATCTGGAATTCTGGAGACAGACAGCTACTAATGGCCATATATGACATGTAACCCCATGCGTGAAGGCAAACCCTTGTGGTGCTGTGTGCATGGGCAGATCAGTGGCCATTCACCTAGCATACCACGCTCCGCTGTCACTCGTCTGTCCGTCCAGATTATTATATATATATAGAGTTAAGTTAGGGACAAAGAATACTTCCAAATCAATGGCTCTTCATCTAGCTTACATACTATCATTTGTTTCCATCCCAGAAAAACAGTGTAGAATGCTGCGAAAATCCCCGTCTAGCCTCTCTTGATTTCTCTGCTCTCTCTTCTGCTGCGCTCGTCGGCGTCGGCGCATATCTTTAGATATACGCAAGAATACTTCCAAATCAATGCTTCGGGCGCCATTTGGCTCCTCCCTGTCCGTGGATGCTGCGAAAATCCCCCGTCGCGCGGGCCTTCTTCTGGTGTCGGCCCCGACGCCACCTTCTCCTGCGGCTTCCTGGAGGCCTTCCTGGAGGCAACAACGCCTTCTCCTTCTCCATCTGGTACACCGACGCAGCGAACAAGACCGCCGTCTGGACGGCGAACCCCGACGCGGCCGTGAACGGCAGGGGATCCAGGATCTCGTTCCGTCACGACGGGGGCCTGGCCCTCTCCGGCGCCAACGGGACGACGGTGTGGGAGAGCAAGACGAGCGGCGCGGGTCTCTCCGTCTCCCTCCTCGACTCTGGAAACCTCGTCATCTCGGATCCGTCGAGCGGCGGCGGCGGCCGCACCCTGTGGCAAAGCTTCGACTGGCCGACGGACACGCTGGTCCCGTCGCAGCCGCTTACCAAGGACACCACGCTGGTGTCCAGGTACTTCTACCTCTACTACGACAACGACAACGTGCTGCGGCTCCTCTACGACGGCCCCGACATGTCGAGCATCTACTGGCCGAACCCGGATTACGGCGTGTTCACCAACGGCCGGACAGCCTACAACTACAACAGCTCCAGGATCGCTGTCCTCGACGACACCGGCGTCTTCCTGTCCAGCGACAACCTGCGAGTCGTCGCCTCCGACCTGGGCCACCCCGGAGTCAAGAGACGGCTGACCATCGATCCGGACGGCAACCTGAGAATCTACAGTCTGGACCCGTCGACCGGGGGCTGGACGGTGACATGGGCGGCGCTGGGGCAGCCGTGCTCCACGCACGGGCTGTGCGGCCAGAACGCGCTCTGCGAGTACCAGCCGAGACTCAGGTGCTCGTGCCCGCCGGCGTACGAGATGGTGGATCGGCAGGACTGGCGGAAAGGCTGCAAGCCGATGTTCAGCGTCACCAACTGTAGGCAGCCGCCGTCTCCATCGCCGGAGCAGCAGTTTAAATTCCTCAAGTTGCCGCACAGCGACTTCTACGGCTACGACCTGCAGTTCAACCAATCCGTCACGTTCGAGTACTGCAAGAAACTCTGCTTGAAGATGTGCTTGTGCGTCGGCTTCTCCTACAAGCTTGAAGGCCAAGGCGTCTGCTACCCGAAAAGCATCCTGTTCAACGGATTCACGTCTTCAGCCTTCTCTGGGACCATCTACCTGAAAGTTCCTATCGATTTCGACGCCTCGGCGGCTCTCGTCACTGCACGGAGCGCCGCAGGCCTTGCCTGCGATCCTAACATCCGAAGATCAGAGGGAAACGGGACGAAGTGGCCGTACTTGTTTGCTTTCGCCGGAGTGCTGGGAGTTCTTGATATTATCTTCATTGCAACAAGCTGGTGGTTCCTCTCCAGCGAGCAGAGCATACCCAGCTCACTGGAGGTCGGGTATAGGATGGTCACGGGCCAGTTCAGGAGGTTCACGTACCGAGAGCTCAAGGACGCCACGGGGAACTTCAAGGAGGAGCTCGGCCGGGGCGGCTCCGGCGTGGTGTACCGCGGCGTGCTCGACAAAGGGAAGGTCGTGGCCGTGAAGAAGCTGACGAACGTGGCGTGGGGCGACGAGGAGTTCTGGGCGGAGATGACGGTGATCGGGCGGATCAACCACATGAACCTGGTCCGGATCTGGGGGTTCTGCTCCCAGGGCAAGCATAAGCTGCTGGTGTACGAGTACGTGGAGAACGAGTCCCTGGACAGGCACCTGTTCGGCACGGACAGGACGCTACCGTGGCGCGAGCGGTACAGGATCGCGCTGGGCACGGCCAGGGGCCTAGCCTACCTTCACCACGAGTGCCTCGAGTGGGTCATCCACTGCGACGTGAAGCCGGAGAACGTCCTGCTGACGCGCGAGTTCGACGCCAAGATCGCCGACTTCGGGCTGGCCAAGCTCTCCAAGAGGGACGGCGCCGCCGGCGACAGCATGCAGCTCTCTCACATGAGAGGGACGACGGGGTACATGGCGCCGGGGTGGGCGCTCAACGTTCCCATCAACGCCAAGGTAGACGTGTACAGCTACGGCATTGTGCTGCTGGAGATGGTTATGGGGTGCAGGGTGTGTGACCAGACCACGGCGGGCGGGGAACGCCTGGAGATGTCGCAGATCGCTCAGGCCTTGAGGCAGGTAGTGGCTACCGGCAACGTGGTGCCCTTGGTGGACGGTAGGTTGCAGGGGCAGTTTAATCCTCGGCAGGCGTTGGAAATGGTGCGGATTTCCTTATCGTGTATGGAGGACAGGAGCAACCGTCCAACAATGGACGACGTAGCCAAGGCTCTCACAGCCTGTGACGACGAGGACGAGCATCCAGCATACAGGTACATATAAGCCATGAGCAAGATAGGCTGTTGGGTTACTGTGTTAGGATCAGGAGATACAATTGTTTTTCTTTTTGACGAAACAGGAGAGGGATCCCTAATTCCATTCCCGCGGCGTTCACTGGTTTCAAATCCAATGAACAATTGAGCAGTCCCGCAACTTTCTATTTTTGGCAAAAAAAAATCATAACTTTTCTTTTTGGGAAAAGTTACTAAGTTGTATACATAACTTTTATGCACAACTTATATTCGTAACTTTAACAATATAATATTTTATACATAAGTTGTGTTTCATAATTTTTGTGTATCCAAATTTTGGTATAAATTATAAGTTAATTTGTTCCTCCTGTGTTTAACAACTTTTATGTTTCCACATTTTGGCATAAGTTATAAGTTAATATGTTCCTTTGTGTTTAATAACTTTTGTGTCTAATATTTGTTTCATAACTTTAGTGTTTTCAAGTTTATACACATAACTTTTATGCACCACTTTGTTCACAACTTGGACAATATGACATTCTATACATAAGTTGTGTTTCATAACCTTTGTGTTTCCAAGTTTTGGCATATAAGTTATATGTTATAAGTTAATACACATAAATTTCTACTAGAATAAAATTATTTGAAACAAATGTAAGTCGGGTCTAGTTTTGTTCGTCTCGTCACGGAGAACACACCCATGCAGATGCAATAAAATGGATACACCGCTCAGAAGTTATAGTAATCCCAAATAAATATTTTGCTTTTTTCTGGTTTGCATCAAGTGACGTCACAGCCAATTGGAAAGGGAGCGGGAGAGAGGTGTGGGCGCATGATGGGGAGCATGGGATGGGTGCGTCCGAAATGGTAATAAGGTGGGATTTTTTTCCAGAAAAGAAAATTATTGCATGTTGGGAAATCATTCGCTGGTTTTGTAATAATTACTTCCATGAAGAAGGCAGATGAAGCTACACTTTGAATGCTTCCAAGATGATTTCAAGCTCTGAAGTGTTGGGTACTAGGAGATGAAGACTGAAGCAGCAGTCCAATGCAAAAGGGCAATGGAAGAAGAGATGAAGCAGATCTTCCTCAATAGCGTTGGAGCAGAAGACACAATTATAGTCATCCAAAAAAATATTCTTTCTTCTCAGAAGCTACCTTATACTAAGTCTATCTTTGAGAAGCAGCCAAAAGAAAAAATTCCGCTTGTTTTAACAAGTAGAACGCCAAAGCCATTAATGACTTCTGTGAACCTAACGATGGGCAATAAGATGCTTAAGCTTGGTTAGAAGAGAAAACTAAGGAGCCCCAGATATAAGTCCAGCTGTCATTTGATGACTGTAACTAAAAATTCCAAAAGATAGAAACAAGCTCTAAAAACTGATTGTAAGCTTCGGTAGTTAGAGGCAAATGAAACAGATTCTTGGGTAAAGGTATAGAGATCGCAGCCTGGGAAAATGAGTACAGTTCTGGGAAATGCTGACTCAAAATGTTACCTCCCTAATGATCATGCCACAGAAGACTTGTGGTCCCATCTCTGATTGAAATCACAACAATGCCTTTGAACTGACTTAGGAGTTTTAAAATATCACACCACCAAAAAGACCCCATTGACGGCCTTCTGAGATGGGTAGTCTATTGTCAGAATAGTGCTTACTCCACACAAGCTGCACCCAAGGAACATCTTTCTTGTAAAATTTATGGAAATTCTTAAGTAGAAGCCATTCGTTACGAATACTAAGATTGATGGCCTCCAACCCCACCTCCAGCTTTGGGTAAACAAACCAAAAGCCAACCAGCTTTTGGTGGCTTCCTATTGTTTACATCTAAGCCTCTCCATAAGCAGTGTTTGCAAAAGTTATCTATTTACTTAATCATCGTCTTAGGGAGTAAAAAGGTACACATGGCAAAGGTTGAAAGGTTAGATAGAACTACATTTGTCATTTCTAATCTTCTAGTCTCAAATAAAAAAGATGAGAAGGTAGTCAGCCTTCTTTCACATTTAGACACCAGGGGCCAGAAATCAGCTACTGAAGGTTTGGTAGTACTCAAAAGAAGGTCCAAATAGGTAAAAGGAAGAGAACCTTTTAAACAACTGAGGGCATTAGCTAGCGGTTCTAGTTTATCTTCAGAAACATTAATGGGCAGCATCAAAGATTTGTCAAAGTCGACCTTGAGGTCTGAAGAATCAGCAAAAGAATGCAGAAGGCTCTTCAGATGATTTAACTGAACGACGTCAAAAATAAGGGTGTCATCCGCATATTGCAGAATTGGGAAGTCTGGATCACAAGGCAGGGGAATGGGCAGGTGTCGATGAAATATGGTCGGCAGTCTACCGAGGGGTATGCCCATGGTAGTAGATGAATCGGTGGAGGTGCACGTAATAGGAGCCGAATGGTGACACAAGCGCAGAGACAAGTGATTTAGATAGGTTCAGGCCGTCTGATCGACGTAATATCCTACATCCTGTGTCTTTGGTGGATTGTATTGAATATAAAATGCCTTCGAGGGGGTGAAAGGTTCTTGTGTGGTTTTGGTAATTGAGTGACAACTTAGGTGGACTAATTGTGTTTATGTGAGATACACAGATGATTAGTCCACAGGTATATGTGTGTGAGCAACATATGCCATGAAGGTGGAAATGGCTCGGAGATGTTGCAAAGCTCACACATGTGATGATGAAGGAGCTCATTGCACATGAGACATGACATTGAGTCATATGATCAAGGTGGAGAAGATCAAGACATGACTTAGCTTGATGGACCGGTTGCAAGCATGAAGGGCAAGTTGAAGGCTTTGGAGCGATGGACCGCGTGGCGGTGAAGCTTGAGTAAGACTTGGCGCTGATGGACAAAGGCAACGGTGAAAAGCAAGTGAAGTCAAGATCGATGAACCAATATGATCACGTGATGATATGAAATGGATCATATCATTGTTGATCGTGTTGGTGCATGTGTTGCATCGACATTGGAGGAGATGGAATGGAATATACAAGGCAAAGGTATAACCTAGGATATTTCATTTCACCGGTCATAGGTATGTAGAGAAGTTGATGATCGGGTTAGGATAGATGACCGTACTATCAAGAGGGGTAAACTTGTTTGCATATCGGTCATCTAGTGCCACTCGAGTGATCTAACTTGGCATCGTCGCTAGGATTGAGTGGCGTGGTAAGTTGAGTGGCTAACTCCTTAAAATGTTTGTGAAAAGCTAACACACATACACATGTTGGTGTACACTTGGTAGTGTTGGCACATTTGCAAAGGAGAAAGAAGTTGGAGTTGATGTGGATCAACTCGGTGAAGAAAAGGAGGTCACTGTGAGTGACCGGACGCTGGCCTCGGTAGGACCGGCGCATCCGGTCAGTGGCAGTAGTTGGGCACGGTCTTGGTCAAGTGACCGGACATTACACGGTAAGAGTGACCGAACGCGCAGGGCCTGCGTCCGGTCGCATGTGACGTATGGTGACGTGGGTGGCGCTAAAGTTGGCGCGCGGGCGCAGAGCTGATCGGACGCTGGTCTGCGTCTGGTCGTGTAGGAGTGGACGTATCCGGTCGCAAAACAGAGGCTCAAGGGAGCTCTCTGGAAACGATTGGACTCAGGCGTAGCAGCATCCGGTCATCCTCGCTGTGCTGCGTCCGGTCGCAACTTAACCGTTGGTGCGTGAAGTTACCATTGAGATCGGGCGGCTTCGATTGAACGCAGAGCGACACGTGGATGGTGTAGCGAGACCGGACACTGGCCGGGTGCGTCCGGTCAGTGTGACCTACGCACGTCCAGTCAGCCCGAAAAATGCTCAGTGAAGGGGTAACGGCTATTTTACCGCGTGGGGCTATAAATAGAAGTGTTGGTCGGTCTTTGGCCAGTAGCTTAGTAGAGCTTAGCACACTAGAACCTTGGTGGCTTATGTGGTGGTGCTTGGGAGCCCTCTAACTCACTCTAGCTTGATAGTGTTTATCCGATTGAGTGAGTGAGCAATTCTAGTGCGATTGCATCGCGAGGTTGCATCGAGTGGCACTAGGTGGTTGTCTTGCAAGCCGGTGGTGCTTGTTACTCTTGGAGGTTGCCACCTCCTAGACAGCTTGGTGGTGGTCTCCGTCGAAGCCTACAAGAAGCTTGTGCAGTGCTCCAGAAAAGAGCTTTGTGAGAGGCATTATGCTCGCTCTGCGAGAGCCACGAAGAGCAACTCTAGTTGAGCGTGTCATTGAGCTACCCTCGCTTTCGGGGTAGGTTCTTACGGTGCCCGATGTGCGGACTTGGCGGGTAATGCCAATTAGCCGCCGAACCACCAAGTGAGCGGTCGACACAACGGGGACGTAGCGTGTTGGTAAGCACGTGAACATCGGGAGAAAATCACCATGTCAACATTGTTCTTCCCGTTGGTTTGCAATCCCCTTACTAAAACACCCCTAATGGTTGGACGCACCTTCTCGCCCTTTCAGCAAGCGGGAGGAGACTTCTTTTTTAAAAAAATTCTTCTCAGCTGATATATATTTTTCCTAAATTCAAAATAAATATTTTTAAGGTGTCGATAGAATTTGGTCATTGGTGCCTCAAAGGCTCAATCAAAATCCAGTCTCTAGAAATAGTTTATGAGATGGATCTTTAGAAATCGATTTTTACACGTAGTTAACAAACCCAACAGCCTCTAAAAATATCATTTTCAGAGACGGCTAGCCTTTCCAGCCATAGAGGAAATTACAGTAGCCTCTAGAAATGGATTTGTAGACGCAGTTAGCAATTTGGGCCGCCTCTAAAAATGTGTGCAACACGGTAAATTTCATAATTTCTCCAAATTAAGTGGGATGAAATAAACTTTATATTAAAGTTGTAGTGCTTGAAGAGATCTACAACTTTGTAGTTGACGACTTTTATTGGAAATTATTTGAGACCTAGATTTTTTTTAAGTTTTTACAATTTGAAATTTATTATTTTAAATTTTTTCAAATGACCTCATATGGAGAAAGGATCAATACCGAAGGGTAGTACTCGAAGGGATATGAAACTTTTTAGTTGATTGCCTTTTTTATT